ATAATTATTATTAATAAGATCTTTTGTCCACTCGGCTTCTTGTATTCACTCTGTCTGACGCCTAAGGCGAATTTCAATTCAGAGGATTGTTTCTCGCGAATCACGAGTAAAATTCGAAGATATTTCTAAGGAGAATATCAAAGAACTTCAGTTCTGTGGAAAATTTAATGTTAATTCTGGGCATAATGACTATTGTGAAATAACATAACACATTAAGCATCTTTGAAATGTTTGGTTAGCCTGTGGACATATAGGTTCCGAAAAACATGGAGTTTAGGAACAAAGCCGTATTTCACTAATGCGACTTGCACGCAACAACCAAAAGTATCGTGATCCCATAGCCTCGTTCATAAAACATTATTGAACAGTTTTAAAATCGGTCAGCTGGTGCTGGAAATGTGGCAGAAACATGTTGCTGGGAATGTGAGCCATGATACTAAATTTGACCGGTAAGGAATAAAACCTTTCAGCTTGAGCTTGAGCTTGAGCTTGATTGACCGCCCACGGTTGCTACTCTGTTACTGCCAGATCAGTTGTAATTACACAGAGAACCAATAGACGATGCTTGGGACTAGCAATCATCCTCAATGTGTAAAAACTGGTGATCTTAAATTAGGCAAAACCAGCGCCTGCCGCGCCCGAACACAGGTCAAGAAAGGAATGGGAAGGATTGTGTTGACATGACACTCGCTTTGATGGAAGCGGAGAACACCTCTGCACTTCCACGAGGAATCACTGGGATGTTGGATAAGAGGGTTGGGTTTGCAGCAGGGTTCGTTTTGGTAAACGATAAGCTGAATTGATGTCCTAACGATCATATAACGCGAAGGAGCTTGGAACTAAACCCACGGTCTTCTGCTCAGTAAGCAAAAGTGTTTGCCACTAGGCAGACGAGCACCTTTTTAATCACCGAGTTGCTGTTATTACCATGTAGTCATATTAACAAATAAAACGATTGACGAATCTTGAATGTGGATGGGCCTGAGATTAGACTCATGATGTTCTGCTCAGTAAACAAAAACGGTTTCTCTAAGGCCACCGAGCCCCTCATATCACATAATACCGCTGCTCAAATTTGTGTATCCATTCAAACCCGGAAACAACGACAACAACGAGTTTCGCAAAATACACGATACACAAGCGATTTTACCATAAATCTCTTTGATATGTAAGGACCTGGGACCGCGTTTTTTGCTCAGTAAGCAGGCCACTGTAACCGACGATCTTTCAAATCCGAAAACTAAAAACTACGAAAAAGTACTTAGGCCTTCATTAAGTTCCACTTTCACGCGACGTTCAATGACAGGGTCCTATCCAGGATTACATCTGAAAAATTCAAATCTGGCCAACGCCCACCCTAAACCTAAACCTGTTCTAATCCACCTGAAATGACTAACGAATGGAAGACTTTGACTACCCTGCCATGCAATAGTCTCATTCCGTGCCTTATGGCAACTTGATGATTCTATTGCGCTCATCTTTTGGCACCACCCAGGGGAGACTTGGTCCTGTACCCAATGCTTAACTTATCTCCATTCCACTCAGCTACTCGCAATTTCTTGTGATATAGTGGGCGGAATATTACTATATGAGACAATTCAATGCAGACGTCTTTCCAAATTTGGCAGATCGACAGGTAATCGGAGAGTTACCACGATAGTTGCTATTCAAAAACTTCCCAAATTTCCCATTGCAGACGCCAACGAAATGACGTCATTGAGCTATCGATCAACTACCCTGGTTATCGCCTGGTACCTTATAGCACGATGCTAGGAGGCGAACCTCTCTCCCCCGGTAAGGAATAAAACCTTTCATGTGACAAAACAAATTACTTCAAAATATGATAACCACATCAACTTTGGCCATTTCGAGCGCCACGGATATGTCCCAGATGCTCCCGGGAAATCAACCAGACTTGAATTAAAACCCATCGTGCCAAATAATGAATTAAGAATTGGTCAAATGGATTAAATTCCAAGATATAAGGAAAAAATGCAACATCAATAATACGTCTCAATCAAAATTTATTCTTGGCTTGCTTTCGACAGAAACAAAATCCATTGGCAAAATTACCATATTGATAGTTTAAATTTAATACTCCCACCAATAGATTTTCAGCAGTTCTTTCAGTCAATGCGTCGTCGACTTTGGAAAGCAACCGTTTCGTGATGAATGTGTGAATGACCACGTTTTGCGTCCATTGCTGCAATGGAAGCGCTCTGAACCCCGTTGGCGAAATTGTCATACAATGAAACCACTGGAAACGGCCCCCGTTCTAATGGAGGAGGCTAAAATGGCGGAAGATAAAATGTTTATTGTGTTGTACCTTTTGACTATAGTTTTAAGATCTATTGTATAGTGAACAAGAATCCTCGGCTCTGTAAAGTTAATTCGGTTGAGGCTTATCAAATAAATCAATAAACAAACCAATAGATTTGTGCAGGAACAAAATTCATTTAATTTTACTATTTTTTCTATCAAAACTAGTGTGCCGTTTGAGTAAGCATAGTAGTTTTGACATAATGGTATTAAATTTGTTTATAGTTATAGTCAACTATACTGAAATCATGGTAGATTTAACGGCATTAACTGTAGTTATAATGAAAATAATTTTTTTTTCTGCAAAATAGTATTCCTAACTATGGTCTTTATTTCAGTGTATGAAGTATGGCACTGTAGTGGGAACGGACCGAAAAGAACAAAGGAGAGGAAGCAGGTGATCCTCAGAATCAGCAGCCACCTTTTTTCAAGTATTGGAAATATGTGTAATACTTTTTCGTTAATTCCGAATAACTAGTACGCTTTGCCTACCGAGAAGCAATGGATATACTGAGTGTTCCAGAAATACAGAGTGTTCCAGAAAGTACAACTCGCCGTCATTTCTACTCCGATGAAGTTTATCAGCTGTTCATCGATGTGTGTTGTTGTTTACTGCTCAACAAGTTTGTGTGCGCAAAGTGCATTTTTTTTACAAAATCATAAAAATGCTAGGCATTTCCCTGGAAAAGCGCAAACAGATCGTGCACGGCGAATGAGAACGACCCAAATTTGAGTTTAGGTCACTCATAATCGCCAAAAGTGCAGGAACGCAGCGATGAGTTAAATTTGTCTCATGGTATCCTGTGGAAAACCTAAAAAATCTGCCGGAAAATGAGGAAATTGACGAAAATTTTATTCAGTCTCGGAGTAGTACCAATAGACTGAGTGAATCCAATCTTTACTTTTCTCAAATTCGGGATTTTTTCCCTGGAAAAACCTACGAAAACATGATGCAAATTTACTCATCGCTGAGTTCTTGCACTTTTGACGATTATGAGTGAACTAAACTCAAATTTGAGTCGTTCTCATTCGCCGTGTGGACAAATGTGCAAATGACAAATAGTCCCAACCTATCAGTAAGGAAGGGAGCGAAAATGGAGGAAGTAAGTATCGGAGCAGTCCAAACCGCCATTGGGAAGTTCGATGAAGAAGCTAGCTTCGAGGACATATCAAAATCTGGCCGTAAACCAGGACCGGTGGACTTAAAAGTGGACCAAAAAATCAACAAGCTTTCGTCAATAAGAAAAGTGCCTATGTTCGAGATTTGGCCAAAAAACTGAGAACATCAAGAGTAACGTCCAACGTGCCAAGGCAAGAAACGGACTGAAAACGGACAAGAAGCAGAAAAAGCCAAAACAGAGTCAGAAACAAGCCGCATTCGTCAAACCGAGGGCTCGGAAGCCTGCTGTGTGAAAAATTGGCGTGTGTTATCATGAAGTCAATTTTTACCGAAAAATTTGGTAAGAAGGCCTTGGTTTGGCAAGCGATATGTGAGTGTGGCATGTTGACAAAGCCGTTTGTGACGAAGGAGATGATGAGCACCGAAAATTACGTTCGGGAGTGTTTCAATCGGAGGCTGCGGCCTATCTGTCAACATGATGGCCCAGTACTATTTTGGTCCGATTTGGTGCCAATGCACTACTCGATAGATACTGTAGCATGGTAAAAAGTAAAACATGTGCAAAAGAGATGAATCCTCCGAATTGTCCGGAGGCCCGATCAATCGATTTTTTTTAGTCCTTTCCAAGGGATATCTACAAAGTTAGAAAAATTTGAACGTCGAATGCGGAACTTTTGGTTACTTGGGTGTTGAACGTTTTATCATAGATAAACAGCCGAAACTCTTTGAATAAAATTATCTTCAAAACATAGTGCCGCCAAACATAGCACTGCAGTAGCGACATATCTCGGGCTTCTCGCGAAAAACAAGCTTGCTCGCTGATTCGCAAACAATGTTGCATGCAAGAAACACCAAATATATAGAAACGTCAAAGTGATCCGATGCCAGCGCTGTGGTGAGTAGTTCGTGAAAACGATAACATTCAAACCAATCGTTAAAACGCAAACGATGATCCATAATGAAGACTTACGTCTGTTTGTATGTGGTCTTATGAGCCATTTGCAAAATGTTTATGGATAATTCGTACAATTTAAAAGATCATTTTTTAGAAATTGAGCGGTTTGTTTTTACAATTGTATTGCTAAATTTTACATAAAATGTGGATAATAGTGACAATTTTTTTAGGGATTTTCACCGAAATGTTTTAAAGGATCATTTAGATGTTTTTTTAAAGGAATATTAAATTTTTCAAAGGTCGATTTATCAATTCTAAAGGTGCATACTTGGGGCTGCCAAAGCGGATATAGTACGAAAGTAGCTGGCACTAGTAAATCGCCTCTCTCGAAAAATTAACAAGAACTCGAGATTTTCAAATATGCAATGTTACTGACACTGTAAAGTTTTTCTTTTCAAACATTGGAGCCTTACCAAACAGAAAAAAAAAGTTGAAAAATAAAGTTAAGGTGACAGTTTTGTTGGAATTTCCAGTATTGTTGAGGCAAATTTTGGTAAAAAATTCAAACATTTGATGAGAAATAAAATATTTAAAAAATAATCTTAAATTATCACACAATCTTCAAAGTAATCTATTATTGGAAAACAAATAAAGCAAATCACTTACCACATTGATTTTGTGCAATATCGTCCGCAGTGGATCATCCTTTTGATTTGTGTTGTAGCGGTTGCGATTTCCCCATCCTGGAGCTTGCACCGAATTGCCATAATTCTGGCTCTGTGGCTGTTGCTTCGAGTAACTGTTATTGTTAACCCTTGCTGCAGCGGCCGTTTCCTCTGCCTTCAGCACTTTGTTGAAATTTCGCAGATCAGAAATACCCGAACCTCGTCGGGGACTGAACAAACCGCTACCGACGGAACCACGCGCAGTGGCCGGCGTCGGAACTTGTGCTTTAGTGTTTCGCGCATTTGGAACCATGTTGCTGCCACTTTCCAGTTTGATATCGTTGAAGCTTGAGTGTTGAGTAGCATTGTCATCCTCGTCGATGGCTATGTGATTGCTAGAACTGGTACGATGGACCGAATGTTGATAGCGGTCCGGTTCACTTGTCGTAGACGTGCTCGATAGCTGCAGAACATTGATCACGCCCGTCGAATTGTGCGCTGCCCCAAAAGTGGCATTGCCCAGTGGACGCTGCCCGACTGCACAGCGATCTAATAGGCAGAGTAGCACCAGAAGCACCAGTTCCATTGCTATTCGATGTCTTCTGGGATCGAACGCTTGGTTGGCTAATCGGTAAGTCGTAGTTTTTGTCATTTTTATACGAAATGAAAACTTGTTTTTTTTTTCAACTGATATCCTAGTAACTTTCTCACTTTTCACTATGCTCCAACGAAAGTGCGAGTGTGTAAGTCTGCGGTTTGCATTTGTGTTTGAGTGACAGGAGCCACGCGAGTTCACGAGAGAAGGAAACGCGAGGAGAACGTGGAGACCCTGTTTCGGAAGATCCAGAGAGACAGCCTCCCTCCACCGAGTGCTGTCGGTGGATTCGAAAATCGGAGAGGCTTACAAGAAAATCCTTGCACGCCCCAACCCACCGCCTCTTCCTTTTTCGGGGTCTGCTTTTTTTCTTCGGCTGCTGCTACTCCCGTTACTCCAAATGTGTTGTAGAGTATATTTAAAAATTCAGCTGGAAAATTCACTTGCCCCCAGAGGTATCGCAGTATCCAAAATACCTGTACACTTGGTCATTTTGAAGAGATTTTTCTAAATGTATGCACAGGGAAGACTTTTTTCGAACCATTTTTCTTCCTATTCATGCATAAGCATAACACTATTCACTTTTTTTCCCTTACAAGACCTCACTGAGGTGGTCTCATCTTAAATATTGATACCATACTTCTTCTTTTTCTCGCCGCCATCACTCGTCACCAAACGGGAGGACTTATCGTCATCCATCATCTCTTCGGGGACAAATGCATTAGTGCGTAACACCATTTTCTATATTTTCCTACGATTTTATTGCTTCAACAAAAATCACTTCAGCAATTCCTCCCCCACTTAGGTGCAATCTCCACCGAAGCCAGTGGCTGGTTATCCTTTTTCCAGCATCGCTTCCATTTTCTTCCGAAATTTTCACTCCCAACTATCCAGTCGTAAGATTCACTTCATAATCCGCATTTACTACTGGCGATATCGCCAAACTGTTCTCGAGTCGGATGTTCTCCACAGGCAGGGATTTGCGGTCACCAAGTTGTTAGTCTCCGCCGTAAGTCGACGCCCCGACCGAGTTTTTCTTCTCTTCGCACACACAAAATGGGCAGCGGCAGGCAGATTTGAAACGCAAAAAAATGTTCTCCGCAGCACGAGATCCGCAGATTCCGTTCACACGACCGTCCTAAGAGCCACCGGTGACCGTCCGAGGTAACCCGTGCTTTTCACGAGATGGCCAATATCCTCTTCTCGGATTCAAGAAGAAAATTGTTCGCCTCCGTTTTCGGAAACGACGACGGAGAATCACTTTTCACTTTTCACACACACGCGATGCTGAAATACTGCTGCCCTCTGACTGCTGCTGCTGCTAGCCTTTCGCTGCTTTGAGCGAGATGATTTTCGGTAGCCTCTCCCTCTCCTGTGGACTACTATCATGATGGGAAATAAGGAAAAAAAAACAGGGATGCTGTCGGTTACGTACGTACGAATATTCCGATCCTGTCTCTCGCACTTGTTATGGATGCACGGCGGTTCTCTCTCTTAGCTCAGTCAACGCTTTGACGATTTACGCAAACATGGTGGTAAGGATGTTATGGATAGTAGACATTCCTCTCACCGTTTCACCCACGGTGGATCAAGGATCCAGTCATTTCCCATTTACCACGCTTCATCCTACTGCTCGGGACACAAAATGGTTATTTAGAAGTGCTCGTAAATGCACACTTGAGCCAGTTACAGCATCACCAGCAGAAAGGAAATGTTCTGCTGAAATGTTATTGGTCGAACATGTTTCAGTGTGGATGCGGTTGTGATAAAACTTGTTTATCATCTAGTTGGTTTATTTGAAAGGCTCAATCGCGTTAGCTTTACGGAGCCGATAGTTCATCGTTTCGTAACCAAATTTTTTTAAAGGGTGTATTCGATAAAAATGGCACACCGAAAATCTTCTGTAACTTTTGAACAGTATGAGTAAAAAACCTGAAACTTTGAGTTAATCTTATTCATAGTGTATTATTTACATCTGTCAAGTTTCATTATTATTCGTAAAGTAGTTCTAGTCATGTCGTCGAAACAAGAAATTGTCCGTGAAAAATTTTTGTACACTTACAATCAATATCCAGAGGCGTTCGAAATTGAATAAAACAAATCTTGTAAATCATAACTCATTAGTAGTTTTACATTCACTGGAATTTTTAAGAATATCCGATAATCGGTTTAACTTTGGTAAGTAAATATATGTGTGTGTGCCGTTTTTATCTAATAAACCCTTTAATTCTAGGTCTAGTTGAGCCGAATACACGCGGCTTACTCGAAATTTGGAGGATAGGATCAGGGGAAGAGCATGGAAGTGGAGTTTCATTGTCTCATCAGAACGTTGTCGCCAGTATATGAACGGTAGATTCAACTTCATCTGGGGTTTGACCGGTGGGCGACGATACGAAGCATTGATAAGAGGGGACAAAACAAACAAAAATTAAGTTGCGGAAAGTCCGTAAATATTTCAAAAGTTATAACATTTAAGCCAGATTTTCACAATTTCAATTTGCTTACCGATACATACGTCGTTTTCGTTTTTGAACCTGGGTTAGTGTTAACCTACCACACTTGGCAGTATGGACCAACTATGGTCCCGCCACCAAAAGGAGAAGAAGAAGAAGAAGTGTTAACCTGACTCTGGAATAAAAAAAACGGTTTCAGTTTGAAGAGTATTTGGTATGTTGGTGTGCGTGACATCGTGTGCAGCTAGCTATCAAACACTTTGTTGATTGCAATAATTTCGTCTGTAATTTCCGACGCCGTTTGTTGGTTTTCATGTTTTTTTTAAAACAGAATAATTAAAATAATAAACGAAATGCTCAATATTTACCGAAGAAGGAAAAATTTCAAATTATATCAGACTCCGGATTTTAAAAAGCTGTCGCTGTCTGATAATTTCTTGCAAGCTTTAGATTCTTAAACAATTCGTAAAACCAATTTATCGCTTTTTCACCCTGGTTAATTATAAATTCTGGTTTTCTTCATAATGTTATTGAGCATGATTCCCGTCATCTTAATCAATAATTTGAATGAGATAACTTAAAACTTGGGCTACAAAATGGTGAGTTGACAACCTGGAAGGAGCGGAATACCTAGCCCTGGTCCTCACAAGTTCCTACTTCACGCCTCCTCGAGTCATATGATAACAAAAGACTACCAGCTGAAACATGGACACAGCTGGGTGGCAATGTTGCCAGTCCGACAATAGCAAAGTGAAGAGGTGCGACGCGAACACTGGCGCGGTAACCATAGTACGGTGATAGAGGAAATGCTTCACCAAACCTGAGCGTCTGCTCACCATGGAGGTGCGGCTCAAAACGGCGTCTGTTCTCCATGTTAGGAGCGGCTGATCACCGTCCTAGTGACAGCGTGGGACTCTAAACTGAGCTGTGCACGATGGTCCCTCGGCGAGACAGGGGGTTGGGGCAGGCCCAACAAGCCGCCCTGAAAAAAAAACAAAGTTGCAAATACCGAAGAAAGAAATACGGATCGGAACAATCGGCACAGACCTACGCGACGAAATAAGGACTACGATTGGAAACTCGGAACATGGAACTGCAAATCGCTCGGCTTCCCGGGTTGCGATAGGTTAATCTATGACGAACTTCAACCACGCAACTTCGAAGTCGTAGCACTGCAGGAACTTTGCTGGACGGGACAAAAGGTATGGAAAAGCGGGCATCGAGCGGCTACTTTCTACCAGAGCTGTGGCACCACCAACGAGCTGGGAACCGGCTTTGTAGTGCTGGGTAAGATGCGCCAACGCGTGATTGGTTAGCAGCCGATCAACGCGAGGATGTGCAAGTTGAGGATTAAGGGCCGTTTCTTCAACTACAGCATCATCAACGAGCACTGCCCACACGAAGGGAGACCCGACGACGAGAAAGAAGCGTTCTATGCGCAGCTGGAGCAGGTGTACGACGGCTGTTCGCAACGGGACGTCAAAATCGTCATCGGCGACATGAACGCTCAGGTAGGACGGGAGGCAATGTATAGACCGGCAATCGGGCCAAACAGCCTGCATGCCGTATCGAACGACAACGGCCAACGATGCGTGAACTTTGCAGCCTCCCGGGGTATGGTAGTTCGAAGTACCCCAGCAAGGATATCCACAAAGCCACCTGGAGATCACCTGACCAACACACAGAAAACCAAATCGATCACGTTCTAATCGACGGGAAATTCTTCTTCGACATTATCAACGTCCGCACGTACCGCAGTGCGAACATAGATTCGGACCACTACCTAGTTGCAGTATGCATGCGCTCAAAACTCTCGACGGTGCATAACACACGTCGAAGTCGAACGCCACGACCCAACATTGAGCAACTACGGGACACTGGAGTTGCCCAGGACTACGCGCAGCAGCTGGAAGTTGCACTACCCACGGAAGAGCAGCTTGGCGCAGCTTCTCTTGAAGATGGCTGGAAGGACATCCGTTCAGCCATAGGTAGTACTGCTGCAGCGGCACTAGGTACTGCAATCCCGGACCGAAGAAATGACTGGTTTGACGGTGAATGCAAACTGTTAGTAGAGGAGAAGAATGCAGCACGGGCGAGAATGCTGCAACACCGCTCGAGTTTGAATGTGGAGCGATAGAGACAAGCGCGGAACAGACAAAACTCGGTTTTCCGAAGGAAGAAGCGTCAGCAGGAAGACCGAGATCGCGAGGCGATGGAAAATCTGTACCGCGTAAACGACACACGGAAGTTCTACGAGAAGCTAAATAGTTCGCGTAAAGGCTACGTGCCGCAAGCCGATATGTGCAAGGACTTGGACGGTAACCTTCTCACGAACGAGTGTGAGGTGATTGAGAGGTGGAAGCAGTACTATGACGAGCACCTCAACGGTGAAGCAGCAGAAAACGAAGGTGGCACGGCAACAGACCTTGGAGCACGCGCAGAAGACGACAGGCTACCGGCCCCTGATCTTCAAGAAGTTGAGGAGGAGATCGGTCGGCTGAAGAACAACAAAGCAACTGGTGTAGATCAACTACCAAGTGAGCTATTGAAATACGGTGGTGAAGCACTGGCTAGAGCGCTGCACTGGGTAATTGCCAAGATTTGGGAGGAGGAGGAGATATTACCGGAGGAGTGGATGGAAGGTGTCGTATGCCCAATCTACAAAAAGGGCGACAAGTTGGATTGCTGCAACTACCGCGCGATCACACTGCTGAGCGCCGCCTACAAGGTACTCTCCCAAATTCTATGCCGCCGTCTGTCACCATATGCAAGAGAGTTCGTGGGGCAATACCAGGCGGGATTCATGGGTGCCCGCGCTACCACGGACCAAATTTTCGCGATTCGGCAGGTTCTGCAGAAATGCCGCGAATACAACGCCCACACATCATTTGTTCATCGATTTCAAATCCGCATACGACACAATCGATCGAGATCAGCTATGGCAGATTATGCACGAGTACGGATTTCCGGATAAACTGGCGACGATGGATCGAGTGATGTGCGTTGTTCGAGTATCGGGGACACTCTCGAGTCCCTTTGAATCTCGAAGGGGGTTACGGCAGGGTGATGGACTTTCGTGTCTGCTGTTCAACATCGCGTTAGAAGGTGTGATCAGAAGAGCTAGGATAGACACGAGTGGCACGATATTCAAGAAGTCCATCCAGCTCCTTGGTTTCGCCGATGACATTGACATTATGGCACGGAACTTTGAGATGATGGCGGAAACGTACATCAGACTGAAGGCTGAAGCTAGACGGATTGGACTTGCCATCAACGCATCAAAGACAAAATACATGAAAGCAAGAGGTTCTAGGGAAGACAATGTTAGCCTCCCACCCCGAGTTCAGATTGACGGTGACGAAATCGAGGTGGTCAATGAGTTCGTGTATTTGGGCTCACTGGTGACCGCCGAAAATGATACCAGCAGAGAAATTCAAAGACGCATTATGGCAGGGAATCGTGCCTACTTTGGACTCCGGAGGACGCTCCGGTCGAATAAAATTCGCCGCCGCACGAAGTTGACTGTCTACAAGACGCTGATTAGACCGGTGGTCCTTTACGGCCACGAGACCTGGACTATGCTCGTGGAGGACCAACCCTTGGTGTTTTCGAACGGAAGGTGTTGCGTACCATCTACGGTGGATTGCAGATGGAAGACGGAACGTGGAGGAGGCGAATGAACCACGAATTGCACCAGCTGCTGGGAGAACCATCCATCGTCCACATTGCAAAAATTGGGCGACTACGGTGGGCTGGGCACGTCGTAAGAATGCCGCACGACGACCCATTGAAAATGGTTCTAGAAAGCGACCCAACAGGAACAAGAAGAAGCGGCGCGCAGCGGGCAAGGTGGATCGACCAAGTAGAAGGTGACCTGCGGACCCTTCGCAGACTACGAGGCTGGCGAACTGTGGCCATGGATCGAATAG